TACTAGCGAAGACAACAAAATTAGCATGCTAAATGAGTCCTACTTCCCCTCACAGGATAAACTGCACATAGGGACTAAGTTGATTGGTTAAAATGACAGAGTAACATGAGCCGTGTTAGATGTTGTCATAGGGGAACAGGAAAAAATAGCTGATTCCTTAAGACATATAATCTTTTTAAAGAAGTGAAAGCTGTTCAGTCACAGAATTTTGGAGCTTCCACGGCCCTTGCATACTCCTTCAGTAAAAGAGTAATGTATGTAACTGCAGAGTAAGCTCTGTGGCCTGAGAAGCCTTCACAGTGGACTTGAAGCTGAGGCTTAGGGGAAAAGGATCTGTATAGACAGAGTGGGCAGAGGGCATTCAAGTTACTTTATGAACAAAAACCTAGAGTCAGTTAAGAACACAATTATTCTAGAAATTAAAAACAATTTGATAAAAACACAGTGCTTATATGCATCAGTGAAGGGTGAAATTGTAAAAAAGCATTTAATACTCAAGAGTCAGGACTAAAAAGACGGATTTTAAGAAACGGCTAGTAATGATGCGTGGGGATAAATGACCTCATGCTTTCTGTACTCTATTCTGAATCGTTAAAAACGAAGTAATCAACCAAATGAGTTTAAGAACATCCTTATTCATTTATACATGCTTACTTAACATTCATTTTAAAGTACCAAAGCTTACAAACGAATTATAAAAGGGGAGAGAATGATAAAACTCATTTTTCTAGTATGTTTCAACAATTTGGTTTATTTTTAAAACAAGGAATACATTTACTTTTTAACCCAAATTTTTTTAGGTAAAATTGAGAATGTATGGCAATTTGAGAGCCAGTGAATGGCTTATTCCTTTAAGCACAATTTAACTTAAATGGGAATTGTTATTTTGAAATGAGAAAGTTTAACTCCTTCTCCGTTCCTATTGCTTAAACAGGGCTACTGTTATAACTCCCTTTTTATTTTATAAAGATTTATTTTATTTTTATTGGAAAGTCAGACATACAGATAGGAGGAGAGACAGAGAGGAAGATTTTTATCCGTTGACTCACTCCCCAAGTGGCCGCAATGGCCAATCTGAAGCCAGGAGCCTCTTCCAAGTCTTCCAGGCAGGTGAAGGATCCCAAGGCTTTGGGCTGTCCTGGACTGTTTTCCCAGGCCACAGGCAGGTAGCTGAATGGGAAGTGGGGCTGCCAGGTTAAGAACTGGCACCCAATCCTGGCACATACAAGGTGAGGATTTAGCCACTAGACTATCATGCCAGGCCCGACTGTCTTAACTCTTAAAACAATTCTTAGCATGAAACCTGGTACTTTGGAATTATATTGATGTCAATTCAATTCATAGTTAGGAATTCAGTCATTAACTACTGAAAAAAAAAGTGCTTTGTTGCATATTTAATCACAATTCAAAATTTCATGTTACATTCTTTAAGCAATTTTAAGTTTTATTTTTAAAAAACTAGGTGGAAAATGCCAAATACATACACAAATATAAAAGTATAATGAAAAATGTGATAATGAAATCTTATAAACCCATAGCCTACTTTCAACATCTACTGAAATCGTAGTAATCTTTCAACTACCTCTGTCTTTTTTCCTCTGAAATGCCTTAAATTCACAAGGTCATTATTCTTACAAACTTCAGTAGGTATCTCCCCAGGCAGCCTAGTGGTCAGGGTGCCTGCGTCCCACATTGGTGTCACTGGCCTTGACTGATTCTTAGTTTTGGCTCCTGATTATTCAGATCTTAGGAGGCAGTAATGATGGTGTAAAAAATTGGGTTTCCACAATGCTTGTGGAAACTGGATTTCTGCTCCCACCTTCCAGGAGGCACCGCAGGCACTGGGGGAGATACCCTGTGGATGCCTGCTTCTCAAACAGACCTATATTTTTAATTTTTTTTCCTTTTTTTTTTTCTTTGACTAAAGGCGACACAAATAAAGGATCCCCTTTCTCCTGTGCTTCCTCCCTTATAAATGACGTAAGTCAAATCTTGGATTTATCCTTGATTAATCTCTCATGCCTCAGGGCCCATCAGCTAACCAACAGAGATTTTGACCCTCCTCTGCCACCACCATCACCTAAGTCACATTTTTGGCTTCTCCCATTATGGTGACAGCTCCCTAACTCGTTGCCCTGGTATCTACACAGGTTCAGTCTTTGCACTTGTTCCTGCTGCCCCCTAGACTCCATTAGACTTGTGTGAGATCCCTTTGTATTTCATTCTATCAGAAAGCTTTGCTCTGCCCACCCTAGCTACACAACGTGGTAACAGCCACTACTTTGCCCATTACTTCTCTTCTGGCTTTTCTGTCACCTGATGTATTCACAAGGTTATTTCTGGCAGAATGTAAGCACCAGGAGGGCAGACTCTTAATTAATTTCATTCACTGCTACTTCACCAATGTCCAGAATAGCAACCAGGAAGACATGAAGGAAGCACTTACGCATGTAAGACCAAAAGGAAAACAACTTGATAGCTAAAGGTCCAGGGCAAAATGAAAACACTTTTCTCTAAAGAAACTGAAAGTGTAAGCAAGTAAGATTCAATTTGGGAAGTATTCCCTTTGAGATATTTGATAGACTGACTTTCCAATTGTACCTATCAACAATCTAAATCACACTAAATTCTAGAATGAGTTCTTTTCAAGTTGCATGAGTCATGTACCTAAAATACATCTAATTGTATTTAGAAGTAGCCTTTTACAGTGTCAAATTGGCAATAATCATATAGATGCATAGGCAATAACGCTAAAATATCAAAAGTTCTAGTGCTTTATTGTCACTAACGTTAATTCTAAGGGTCTCTCACACCAAAATTCACCTCAGACCCTCTAGCATTCGTTCCTTTTGCATCTTATACAAAATTTCAATGTCTTTATACTTAACAATCTAGGGAAGAAGAGGCAGAAGTTAAGGCAGGTATCTTATTCTTTGTATTTTCTAAAATTGTATTTGCCAAGTCAGCACTGTGTTAATAAATATGAAGTACCATTTATAAGGCTTCTTGCACTATTTAATGTAATTCCCATACAACTCCATAGCTTGCACATATATTTCTTTGTATTGTTTCTCAGCCTTTCACTAAGATCAAGTGTGTTACATACTTCTGGGGTACACATGACCTTAATCATTGACCCTTTAAGATTAAAGTGAGCAAATTTCACACATCACAATACAGATTCAGCACAAACGTCCCACCCCAGCCTCCCTCCTAAGGCAGGCAGCTTATTATTACATAGGTTTCAGAACTCCAAAATCAAAAGCTAGAAGGGAGTTCTCAGGTCCCAAGTGTTCTTTGTTGCTGATATTTAAATTCTCACGCCATGCTGCCTTCTATTTAAAGCCTCTCTAGGCCACAGGACTCTGTTAGCCTACATATCTTTTAGTTTAAACGGCTTATTTAGGAAAAGCAGCAGCATGCCTGCAGTACTAGGTCAGACAGTACCTGATTATTTAACTAACCATGCAAGTTAAGCAAGCCACTTAGCCTCTCCCAGGCTGCTTCCTTAAAAATAAAAGAGGATTAATATTTCCCTGGTGAAGTTATGGACAGGATTGGAGCTAATAAGTCCAACGAACAGCAAACACTTGACATACAGCTTTCCTAACACAGGTAGCTATTCCCCTGCTCTGGCTCTTCCATGCTTTTGGTTGGACCAGGGCAATGTAGGCGCCAACCGTACCAAAACTGGGGTACGGGAGACAAGGAAGGCGGCAAGGCAACAGGTCAGATTTGACATTTCAGTACCAACGTGGCATGAGCATTAGCAATTAAAATTGTATTTTTTTTTTTTTACAAAAAAAAATGTTATTGCTACTGTGACTATATCATGAACTTCAACAGCAGATTTGTTTATAACCATGTTGTGAGATTTACATCTGTTCCTGGATGTAACTGTGTTAGCCCAATGTGGGTGATGTCTGTAGAAAGCTTTAAAGTTCCCTGGGACAGACACATCCCCGTGGCACTGTGTCAGAAGCCCCAGACCCAGCAACTTAACCCTTCACCCCTTTCTTCGTCCTTCTTCACCCTTTCCTCACTCTCCAGCCGGTAATCCCCAGTTGGACAGCTGACAATCAAACTCCAGGTTTCCGTGGCCCTGGCAGAGCTGGGCTGCCAACTGGCGATGGGCACTTGTCCTGCGGCTGCCAAGCCCAGGGACAGTCCTCTTAGGAAGACTGAGGGTTGGAGGGAGGGCACTGTCTTGGCAGAGCGCTCTCGGAGTGGAGGGCTGCAAGAGGAAACTCCTTCCTCGGCGGGGAGGGCGAGAAGCCAAAGCAAGGATGGGGTGGTGCCAGAAGGGCCTGTGGCTCCCGCCCGGGAAGGGGTCACTCGGGGGGCCGGAGGGGTCACTCGGGGGGGCCGGGAGGGGTCACTCGGGGGGGCCGGGAGGGGTCACTCGGGGGGCCGGGGAGGGGTCTCTCGAAGGGCAAGGAAGGGGTTACTCGGGGGTCCGGGGAGGGATCACTCGGGGAGCCGGGAAGGGATCACTCGGGGGTCCGGGGAGGGGTCACTCGGGGGGCCGGGAAGGGATCACTCGGGGGGCCGGGAGGGGTCACTCGGGGGGCAGGGGAGAGGTCACTCGGGGGTCCGGGGAGGGGTCACTCGGGGGGCCGGGAGGGGTAACTCGGGGGGCCGGGAGGGGTCACTCGGGGGGCCGGGGAGGCTGGGGCGTGAGGTGCTGGGACGGGGTCAGGGCAGCGCCTCGACCCGAGGTGAACTAGGGGTGTCCTCCAGGGACGGGGTCGGGGGAAGCGTCCCCACCCCGCCTCGCCGCCCCACAGCGGCAGTTGGGGAGGAGCGAGACACGGAAAACGCCCAGTGCGAAGCGGAGGGGCACCAGGCCGCGCCCATCGCCCAAGCCTCGGGCCGCGGCAGGCCCGCCGGGGAGCGGGGGTCGTCGGCGCCGCCTCGGGCCGGGCGCTCGGGGGGCCCTGCTAGGCCCTTCTCGGGGGTCGCCGCCACCCTCCTCTCCCTCCCCCGCCCAGCCGCGCTACCTGAACGGCACGGCTGAGGAAGGTGCCCGCGTCGGCCGCCAGCTTCTTCACGTTGAAGTCCATGATGTTCATGTCGGGAGGCGGCCGGGCGGAGCGCCGGCTGAGCTAGCGGGGAGGCGCCGCGGCGGGGCCCGGGCGCCGGGGGCAGACGTGGGAGGCGGAGGGAGGTGGCGCCAGCGCCGCCGCCGCAGCTGTCGTTTCCGCCGAGGGGCAGGCGGAGGGTGGGGCGAGGAACGCGCTCGGGCGCTTCCCAACAGGCCGCGGAGCCCGGGCGGCCGGGAGAAGGGCGGCCAACGTCCGCTCGGGCGGCGGGGGCCGGGCTGGAGAGCGACGGGCGTCGCCGCCTGGCGGGGCCGCGTCCCCGTCGGAGGAAGCGAGCCGAGCGCCGGCCGCGGGGCGGAGCCTCGCCCGCGCTGCTGGCGGCAATGGCGCCCCCTGGAGGACGGCGGCGGCGCGGCGGCTCGCCGGGAGCCCCACCCTGCTCCTGCCGGGCGGCCTCGTGGAGTGCGCCGTGCGGGACCCAGCGCCCCGGCGCGTTTTAACGTCTGAGAATCGAAGGAACTGACAACTCTGATTCCTCTCTCTCCCCAGCCTCCCAATGAGGAAAACCTGTATGGTATACGAGTGTAGTATGTGTGAAGTAAGAATAGGCTTGGGTCATCTTGTAGCACCGGGGGCGTCGCGCTGGACCCCGAGTTCTGGGTGGCACTGTACTAATCTGTGCGTAACAGAGTTAAAGATATTGTCCCCACCGAGCCTGTTGTCCATTCATCCGCCATCCTTCAGTGCCTTCTGTGTGGCAGGTACTGAAAGCGGTGCTGAAAACACCACACTGAGTAAAGGCACTCAGCTCAAGCTCTCAGCCCTGTTCCTTGGAGTTCAAAGACCCTCCCCATCCCCGCCCCCACAAGCTCTTAGGGACTTTGACACGTGTGTGCATGCTCAATTACAGAGCCTCACAGGTGCCCCTGGGTGCCAAGCACCCTTGGAGGGTCAGGGGGAGGCCACCAAGAAATGCAAGATGGTGAGCGATTTAAGGTATTATTTTAACAATCTAGCGTGACTAGTTTTTTTTTTTTTATTGTTATTAACATTGTATTATGTGATACAGTTTTATAGGCACTGGGGATTCCCCCCACCCCTCCCACACCCCTCCCCCCATAGTGGATTCCTCCACCTTGCTGAGTAACCTCAGTTCAAGTTCAGTTGAGATTCCTTCATTGCAAGCATATACCTAGCATAAAGTCCAGCGTCTTATTGTCCAGATAAGTTCAGTGGCCTCTTGGGGAGACCTTCTCTGGTCTGAAGGTAGAGCTAACAGAGTAAAGTTCCGGTCAGTTAAAAGCCCCAACAAAACATCAGCATCAATATACAACGTTATGGAACTAATTGACATAGTATAGCGTGACTAGTTTTAACAGGGAGTAAGAACATGAGGTGATGTCAGCTCAAAAAACGTATTCCCGGTAACTTTGTAAACTGTCTTTGTGCTAGCAGCATTTGCTAGAAGCGACTTCAATTAGGCACAACTGAGACCCACTGCCATTTCGGGAATAAGGGAACACGGTTTCTGTTGCGGTTTTGTCCTTTGGATAACAGGAGGGCATGCCAAGTAGTGCAAGGAGCTCACTTTCGGGCTTTGGTCTTAGTTACTGAGACAGCACTAGCTGCTGATAAAGGTTCAAAGAGCAGTAAAAGCGCTCTAAGGGCGAACAGAACGTCTAAATAGTGTGTGCTTTGTTATGGTGACCGAAAACGGCGCCTCTTAAGGTACTTTCCTTGTCATGGACTCTCCCAGGCCTCAAATGCTCCAAGTCTCTTTCATCTCAACGTGTTTTCTCCAGCGACGTGGGAAGGAAATACATAACCAGAAGCCCCAGTTACCATTTGCTGTTTGTCTTCGCCTTTGTGTGGAAAAGCACACGATCTAGAGTGTGGATTGGGCAGGGGAAAGTTTAAAAGTTCCCCGTGGTGATTCCAACTTGAGGTCAAGACTGAAAATGAACCCACCGTCCTCTAAACTTCTCCCACCCAGTTCTGGCCTTTGTTTGCACATGGATTGCACTTGTCTCACCCAGTGTGAGTCTCCCAAGGGGACTGACCCTTTACCTTCTGATTTTTATGTTTTTATAGTCTATATTCCTGGCAACACAGTGGGTTCCCCAAGACTTGTTAAACAAAAAAGTAATCAAATCAAGGTGTGTACCGTCCTCGGAAGGCTCCCTCTTTGCAGCTCCACCACCAATCCCAAATTTCCAGGCCGCTCACTGTCAGACTCGGTGTATCAGTGGTCAGCCTGTCGTAGCTTGCCTTTCCTCAATGTCGCTCTTCATGGACTTCTCTTATTGGTAAATTGGATCATGCATCCCAAATCACTTTGGCCAGGCAGATGGACCCACTTTGATTTCCCACCATCAGTTGCTCTGTCCTGGCTGTTTCTTGTCTGAAATGTTTCTCATCATCATCCCATTCTTAGAATCTTCTGATCCGTAGTCAGACGTGTTATCCGTTGCGCCACTGGCCTGCACCCATCATCCCATTCTTAAAAAAAGGAAAAAAAAAAAAAAGCAAACCAACTTTTTTAGCATGAAATAATTCCAGTCGAATAAGAAAGCAAGAATATTGCAAAAACTCAGAATACCTTTTGCCTAGAAACCCTGCTGTTGCTTTGCTGATCATTCCAATTTCTGTTTAGCCAAAGCATCCAAGCCAAGATCACATGTTGCAGGCATTTGAATGTTGCTCCATCCTTCTTCAAACTAGATGGATTTTTCCTGACACTCCGTCCCTCCTCCTTTCCCAGAATCAATCACGTTTCTTTTGTTGATATGATTAGTTTTTATTTTCTTTTCATTCCAGCTGAATGTATGTGGATCTATAGATATTTGTAGTTGTATAAATGATACACAAATCTTTAGTAATTTAGATGTTAACACCTTTGCTGACTTATGTCTGCTGATTCATGCTTTGTGGATTGATTTATGTCTCATAGTGTTTTATTTTTTTAAAAAATAATCATTTTAAATCATTCTTAAAAAGATTCCTTTTGTCAGAGACTCCTAACATTATCACCATTCTGCAAGTAATGTTTTATGAAATTATCCAAATCATTCAGATAGTATGAACTTGGAGCCCCCACGAGTGGGAGTATAAATCAGTATCGTAGTTTCTCAGAGGATACATTTTTTTTTCTCTTTCAGAACTTGTGCGGTGATGAAAAAGCTTCCTTGCCATCTTGGTGTGTGCAATGGGCTTTATCTAGCTTACCCTTCTTTGAGGGTTCGGACTCACTGCTTCTAGTGTGTGTGCATGAGAAGAGAGAGTTCATGAAGTTCTGGGGAGGAACACTCATCATTTCTGATTTCTGCTTTCACCATGGAGCAGGTCTTTGGACACCATATGGATTTTTAATTTCTTTTTGAATTGTTTTAGCGGCGGAGAAAATGGGGTGGAGGGAGGGTGGGGGTCTGGGAGTTGGAGACGGCGGCAGAGATCTAGACGTCCTGCCTGTACTGCCTAAATCCCCAAATGCCTAAATGAGCCTCGGCTGGGCCGGGCTGAAGCCACGAGTCTGGAACTCAGACTGGGAGTTTCATGGAGCTCCCGGGGACGCAGGTCCTGGGTGACCACTGCTGCCTCTCTGGAAATATGTTAGCATGGAGCTGGAGAGCAAGCACAGCAGGAGTTGAGCCCAGACAATGGGATGCAATGCAGGTGTCACAGACAGTGTCTAAGTGCTGTGGTGAAGTCTAGTCCCATATGGCATTTTAAAAAAATTAATTATTTTGAATTGGCAAACAAAATATACATAAATTTATGACATACAACATGATATTTGACATGTACACATGTGTATACATATACATTTCAGAATGATTTTGTTATAACACATGCATAAACTTGTGATTTTTGCGTTAAGAACACAGAAGGGTACTCCTGTTGACAATCATCACCATGTTGTACTCTAGCAGGTATCTTATTATTCCTCCTAACAGAATTTTTTTTTATCTCTTTTAGTCAATAGGATTCAGCTCATGGTAATCCATACAGCTCTTTTCTTCTATGAGTTTAGCTTACTTAGATTCTGTATGTATGTAAGTGAAATCTTATGGTTTTTGTCTTTCCATTCCTGACTTAATTTCACTTAATACAATGTTTTCCAATTTATTTTTATTGTCACTGTAACAGAAAAACAACAGTAATAGGGAAGCAGAAGATGGCCTGAGTGCTGGGATTTCTGCCATCCAAGTGGGGTCTGCCATCCAAGAATGGGTTCGCTGATAATTGGATGCTGCCGTCACACACAGCAACTTAACTTGCTGCACCACAATGCCAGTCCCTTCACGAACTTTTGGAAGATCTCACGTGTGTGTTGTGTGTGTGTGTGTGTGTGTGTGTGTGTGTGTGTGTACATATATTCTGATAACAAGTCTTTCATATTATAATTTTTAGATTTTAGAGTAACAACTTTGCTAATTTAATAAACATTCAAATAGCATAGAACTGGACAATGAAGAAAGCAAGCAGGTACCACCATCCAATTAGTGAAAGCATTTGATGAATCTCTCTGAAAGATGAGAGACATGCATAGGAAACAGATAAAGTTGTAAAAGGTATTAAATTTACTAAACAGAAAAAAGCTGCCATGAAAAATGAATAACTAAACCTCACATTGTTTCTTCTTGTCAAAGATATTAGAACCTAAAAGAACCCTCTTAGAGTCATTTTTGGGATTTTTTTCTTGCCCTTTTAAAAAGTGATCAGTTTCAGTCTTAGATATAGTTTATAACTTACTGTATAAAAAGAATGAGATAATCTGAAAAGCTTTTACTGTGCTTATGTCTGTCTTATAAACTTATGCTGTTTTTATTATTTTACTCAGTAGAGTTAAATAGAGATTCAGCAGTAATATTTAGTACTAGTGGAGGATAAAACATTTTCGAAACTATTGGATGAAATATACAGTTTGAAAGTTTTATTTATTTGAAAGATAGGCACCAGGAATTCCACCAGGGTCTCCCATGCATGTGGCAGGAACCCAAGTATTGGGGCCATTGTGTTCTGTTTTCATTCTTTTCCCCAGGTGCATTAGCTGGAAGCTGAAACAGTAGTAGAGGTGAAACTCAGTCCCAGGCTTTCTGGTAAATGATGCAGGCATCCCAAGAAGAGGCTTGAACTACTGTGCTACAACACCCAT